GGAAAGGAGGAAGCTTATCTGCCCAACCCAGACTGGAAAAAATCAACTCAAATTAAAAACCCACACAAAAGAGAGGAGTGAGCGAAGGCAGTTTCTTAATTAGCTTACTGATACTGTGCAGGATCACAGCATATGGCTGTCCTGGGGCTTATATGATGAGCAGAGCGTTTAATTCGTGCTAGTAAGGAGCTGTTAGGGTTCCTCCTGACAGTTCCTGATGTTTAGCTTGTAATATAAATAAATYATGCATAGATTTTAGCAGCAGAGACATAACCTAGTTACATGCAACCTTAATGCTTTACAATCATATCTTGAGGTATAAATTTAAAGTTGTGCACTTGCTTACTGCCTTCTGTCATTACTYAGGAATGAATCTAGGTCCCTCTTCCCTTGGCTGTCAGGAAAGGGAATCTGCAAAAATATCTCTTGCTGTGGTGGGATGAGGAGCAGGACTGCAGCAAAGCTCACTGGAGTCTGCAACGGACATAGTCTGCTTTGGAAGGCTTGTGATCCATGATCCATTGTTAGATTAATCCCATCTCATTTCTGTACTTTTGAGATTCTTTTCACATGGCAGCAAGCATGTGTGGTAAAACAAGCAGAGCCTCTTGGCCTTTCCTCCAAGCAGAGACTGGAATAATTTGGAAGCTAARTAGCTGCTGGGCATCATGGAATTTTCGTGTCGTGTTTCTGCATCATTTTGCATTACAGGAGAGCAAGCTGAGGCCCTCCAAGTAGGTCATGGAGGAGGTAACCAGTCAGCATTTTACTGAAGAGGCATTACAAGATGTTTTGGGTATAGAAAGGCATGAATAACAAGGTACAGATGTCAAGTCCATCCTTTGTTAAACTCTTGAGCCCCAGCCTGTTTCCAGGGGCTCTTCTGGGCAGTGCTGCCATGGGTATGAGGTGTGGCAGGGTGCCTTGTGGATCTGTTCTGTGTCACTGGAGCAGACTGAGCTCGTGAAGCCCTTTCTCAGGGTGGCTTTTGCTGTGTCCTCTTGGGCATTTGGCCAGCTAAATWAAGCCAATCACTTTATTAAAAATARGTGGARGKGTTTRCATGCAAAGAAACTGGGKCTGCTCTGCTGYTTCTCTCTYGGGTGTRAGTGGTCAGCGAATGCTGGGGTGGAGCAGCAATGTCCAGTGGGATCTCCGGCTCAGATCTGAACAGCTGCTCCCTGCCTAAACCACCATTAGCAGAGCTCCTCGGGCTTTCTGTGCATTTCATTTGGATTTGGGCTTCTTTCTGCTTTCTGTACCATATTCTCTGCTTGATTTCAGATCAAACTCTCTCCTGCCAAACTCCATTGTGCTGTACAGGCCCTCAGACCAGAGTTGCCTGGATCAGGCTATCTTCATGTCACAGGCAGCTTCTTTCTTCTTTTTTCTTCTCTCTTGTTTTCAGAACAATGAACTTTAATACCAATTAAACTTTCTGGTACTTCATGTGAACTGAAGTATGCAATCCATTTTATTTCTGCATGAAATGATGGAATGATTTTTAAGTGTTGTATGGTCCTCCCTTGAGACATAGTGGACCTAGAAATACACTTGGCAATAGAGTACATTTACTACAACAATTATTGATCCTTCTCCTCTGGCTGGCATCCAAATAAAAATTTCATTATTGTGAAGCAGAGTGTGGGTKTGGAAGGGTGTTTGTACAGCAAGGGTTCTGCCTGCCAGAGTAGGTGGACCAAACAATTAATATGTTTTAAGTTAGACTTGTGAGAAGTTGGTGATCTTTTATCATCTGAAGTATGCAAAGCTCAGTGTCTGCACAGCAAATCCTCAGTGATGGTGCTGGTCAGAGTTTAGCAAGGGTTTGGAAAGCAGCTATCTGTGCTTCAGCTCTCAGCTGCATTTATTCCAGGCAAAGGTGGAAGTGTTACTGGGAGGATGTCTTTAAAATTTCCACTTCAGCTTCCTATTTGTAGAAAAAAGCAGCATCTCCAAGCTGTTGTCTTCATTCCCAGCTAGATCTCTAAACAAAGTGCTTTTTCACCTGCTGAAGGGAGGCAGGGGGTGAGTGTTCAGTAACATTCGGGCCTCGCTTTGTCTGCAGCCCTGTGGGGTAGCAGCTGATGGTGCTCTCCAGACAAGTGACAGACACAGCAACAGTCTTGGAAAAACTGGTATTAATTTTCAGAGAAAAACATGTCTGCCTTTATTTTCAAGTTTCTCTTCATCATTAGATAAAACCCCAATCCAAAATCTCTCCACATCTCCACTCTGTCTGTTGGATTGTTAGGGAGGGCACAGAGCTGCATGATTGCATTGAAAGAGTGCAAATTAAGTACCCTGTACTTAATTACTTTYAAGTCTTTTCTCTTGAAGATAATTTTGGTATGTGGCACAGACAGTAGTAACAGCTTACCTCTCCTAAGGGTGGTGACTGCCAGCTCTGTTCTGCAGATGTAAATGTAGCATTCAGAACTGCATATTACTAAGACAACTCTTTGGTGATGATGATAACTTTATCTAAAGCCTGAGCAGATTCCTCAGCACATTCWCCCCCACTTTCTGAAGTCTTTAATACCAACAGACTGCATGACTGCATTCCTTGCCTGATGTGTTTCTATGCTGGTAGGTATTTACTTTTATTTAACATTTACTTAGTGCTTCTTTGTTTTGTTTGGGTTTTTTTTTTTTTTTTTTCCCAGGGAGAGCATATATTGCAACATCCTCACAAATTTTCTTTTGCTAGTCCTGGCCACAGTCTGGACTCTGAGAATTTGAGGAGCAATCCAGGTTGCTTTTTCCAACTAAAGGCTGGAGATTTAAAACTTCTGGAATGAGATTTGTGCTTTACTGTTTCACATAAAATCAGTGATCCACTTGCTTTCTTTCCTATCTACTCTGAGTCACCTGGGCAGTAATTCCATGTTTTGCCTTTAGAATTGTTCTCCAGACTGCGTTGTGTATATTTACTGAAAACACACTGAAGGTTTCTATTACCCTTTGCAGTGTGGCATAAGAAAGACACTTGTGTTCTTAAAATAGGTTTTTCWTGTAACAGACTCTTGGAAAAGTATTGAAAAGCAGGAAAGTCAGGGAAGGCAGCAGAGGCCRTTCTGGGGGTGAAGAGGCAGGGTAAGGGAAGCAGACTGTACAGAACACTGGGGATGAATGGCAGGTCTCATTTGTTCCTGGTTTGTGTAAAAATAGTTCAGGTTGTTCCTCCTCACTATTCCCACCCTTTTCAATGGGTAGTCAGCGTTATTTTCATTTGTCACAGAATATTTGCCCATCATCAGTGCCTTGAAAGCCCTGCACAGTTCCTTTCACAAGTCGTTCAAACTTCAGTAATAATACTGACTTACATATACAGAGATTCTTGATACTAATTTGCTCCAGCAAGCGAGTCACTGAGATCATTTGTTTAATTCCRAGATCTTGAGGCCATTCCAGTTGTTGCATGGCAGCCTGTCTCCTGAGTAACAGCAGCACCTCAGCTGGGTCTCAGCTGCTTTTCTGTTTGGTGTCTTGTGTGAAACTCTCCATCCACTGAAGAATTACTTCTGGTGTAAAACAACACTTGTCTGATGTGTAAAAAAGTTCAGTGAAAAGCAAAACTCTCTACTTGATCCAGGTCTGGGTGGTGTATGTTACATATCTCCATTGAGTTTCTGAAAGCTTCTGGCCTGGGTGAGGCTTTGTTTAAAGCTTAGAGGTGTCTGGCATACTTGTCCATGGATCTGAAATGCAGRTATTGCCATGGGGATTGGGAGCTCTTCAGTGCCTTTTGCTGTTTTGGAGGCAGGTGCTGATCTCTGTGGGCTTGGACTGTCTGAGATCTGCTCCACTGCTGGGACAGGGATGGGAACTGAGCCCTCCTGTAGGTCTGGGTTACAGACAGGGAAATGGGGTTTGTTCTTCCACGGTACATAAATCCCATGGGCTGCAGGAAGCTCATTASCCGAGGAGGGAGGACTAACAAAATCCCAGGAGCTGGGTATTTATAGAGCAGATGTGTCTGCATGAGATGCTCATAAGGATACATTTTGTGATGTGCGGGGTGAAACATTAAAACTGCAAAGTTTGATGTCTGGATAACTTAGCCATAGCATTAATTAGCTATTAAYTTGATCCTTGCAGAATTTTCATGCTTATTTATGTGTGATGTACGTGGGAATTTTTTCTTGAGGCATTAATTTTCAGTATTTTTTTCCATAGYTGAAGAGACAGTAAGTGATATCAGYAGGCCACACTCTTACTAATGCACTTTCAATTTTTAATAACCTTATGAATGTATACCTTTGTATTAACCCCAGTACAGATGAAGAAATAAGAAAGCAGGATACTCAATACTGTGATGCTGTTCATAATCAAAACAGTAAAAACAAATGTGGTGCAAGTGTGGAAGCACAAACAAACCATAAAAAGATCTCTTCTGATGAGCTAAAGGGCAAGGCAGGTGTGAATGTTGAGCTGTTTTGCCTTTTTTTTAAAGTCTGCAAGTGTTGCTTATGAATGCTAACACTAAGACTTAATTATGGAATAAAAAACGTGATGCACAGCTCCGGATAAGGCCATTTATAGGGCATTTTTGTCAYCCTGAAGCTTAGTAAGTACTGTTCCACATTAATAGATAGGCTTGAATGTGGAGTTGCTATCGTGTACTGTTACAACTCTTGAAAGGTATCAGAGAATTTGAATTCTAATTTCAGTTTCATAAAGACGTGGCACTAAAATTCACATTTGTGTTTTTTGATACAAAAGGAAGCTGGGGTGTGTCCCTGGACTCATCAGCAAAAGAGAAAAATGTGTTTCTAGGCACCTCTGGGATTGTGTTTCCCCGTTTGTTCAGGCTCAGAGAGTTGCAGATGTGCATTGCCCCTATTTTACTGCACTTTAGTAGGTTTGTCAATCTACTTGGCCTCCTAATTGTTCATCCAAGGTAATGAGTTCCTAATAAGTGTAGGATAAATCAATGCACTTTCAGCTTTATAGTGAAGCTTACAGGGCTGAATTTTCTTTCCACTCTCTCCTGGCAGGAATGTAAGCTCAGATGGAGCAGAAGCACGCAGAAGACTAAGGGAGTGTGATGGYTTGGTGGATGCCCTCCTTCACGCTTTGCAGTCTGCAGTTGGCAAGAAGGACACGGACAATAAGGTGAATTGGAGTATTAAAACATAGTGGATGTTTCCATTAATTTAAGCTGAAGTGCTGCACTGGGATCCAAATTCTGTTTGCTGGGATCAGAAGAGGATTATGCTTGTCTCAGAAAATAGAGCAATTCTCTTTCTCTCCCCTCTGGTRTCTGTGGAGCTGCTGATGGGGTATGAGCAGGATGCTGCTGTGCTTCCCTCTATGGCTGAGGAGGGGAGCAAAGGCTGTGGCTGAGAGGTGTGGGGAGAGCTGTCCTTTATTGTCAGTGACATTATTGCTGTTGTTCTGCGTTTCTTAATTGGCATTTATAAGAGCAGTGTCCAAATCAGAATTGAGTCCCATTTGCACAAAGCAGCAAAGGAGTCAGTTCCCATTTTAAAGACTTTATTCAGCACCATCTCTAAAGAYTGAAGTGCTTAGACATTAAGAAGTGTTTTCAGACATGCWGCACTTTSACTGTGGCTTTTTTTTGGTGCAGATTCTATTAATCTGTTTTTATCATCATCTCATCCCATGGCACTTAAAAGTGTATTTATATGCATGAGGAATATCATAACTTTAACCTGTTCAAAAAAGAGCATACTATTTCTTTATATCACCAGAAGGCTTGTGAAGCATCATTATTTTATTCTTTTTGAGTCCCACCATGTGATGGCCTGTACAAGGGAGTTACAAAGCCCTGTTACTTAATCAGGTAATTTTGGAAGTGGATTTTGTAACCACCTGGTGGTTTCCATTGCAACCTACAGAGCATTGCTCTTGTCAGAACCCGATGTGCTGTGGATTAGCTATAACTACAGGACAACGTGTGTTCTCATTGAAATCCTCACAAGGCCTGGGTTTTGACCCAGAGAAAATTTAATAAAATGGGCCCCTTGGAGATTGTAAACGTTGGAAGAACGAGAGGGAGACTTGGATTAAAATAAGATCCTTACATGATCGTTTTCTGCTGTGTGTTTGATCTTTTGGTGAATTGTATTCTTTATGTAAGATCAAGTGGTATTTTTGATTAGAGAGTTTTCATTTTGAATGGATACTATTTATGAAGTGCTTCACTTTTGGAAGAATAAAATGGGGTTTAGAAGAAAGAATGAACTTTAATTTCCTAAATCTTCCTTGAGAATTACATGGTTTTCCTGGGACAGGTGGCCTTCTTTCAATTTCCCCAAGCCCTCCTCTGAACAGTGTAATGGTTTGCAGGTAAGAGAGTGCARTACTTTTTGTAACATGAATTTCTCTGTAACAGTCTGTGGAGAACTGCGTGTGCATCATGCGGAACCTTTCCTATCACGTCCACAAAGAGGTCCCCGGAGCTGATAAGTACCAAGARCAAGATTCTGGTCAGACTACAGGCACAGGAGGCTCTCAGAAGAAGAAGAAAGATGATGCTGGTTGTTTTGGTGGGAAAAAAGCTAAAGGTATGTATTGCAAAAAGCTCAGAACTGGAAATGGATTTGGGGTAAATGTTGCTGTCCTGCTCTTGCAAGCACATTCATCGTGCTTGTTTAGGATGATGCAGTTTGTGGAGTGTTGGCAGTGTCCTGGCATGTGTTGCTCTCCTGTGTTGCATCACTATTAGATAWTTGGGATTCTTTTTGCACAATTGCTGTAAATTTGTTTGGCTTTAAACAGGAGTGCTGCATGCTGACAGATGACACTCTGCTGTTGGAAATGGTGGATGTGCTCTGCCTCTCTTGTGCATTGCTGTGTTCTTATATCTGTCAGATCTCTGCTTAGGCCCCTTCCTGGCTGTGCTGCACGTGTCCCATCCTTGGGAAGCCAGGCCAGCATGGATCCATCCATCCCTCCATCCCATGCATGGCACTCCTGGCTGTACATCATCCATGCCTCCAGACTCCTCTCATATTTGAAAACAAACTAAAAGCYTCCCCTCCCACTCAACCAAAACGTACAACCTCCCAATTCAGTCGCTATTTCAGTAATTTAAATTGCAGACRCGATTTTGTAGCTTTTAATTGTCAGTCACTTTTAGACCTGTTCTCTCCTCTGGGGCATGAGTGTTGCAAATGAGTTTCATTATTAAGAGAGGATTAATAGTCTCAGTAACCCCCCTTCCATGTTTTCTTTACAAAGAGACACTCAAATTATATCTGTTTTCTTTSTTGCTTTAGAGAAATTGCTATTCTAGACTGAATTTTGTTTTCTTTCCTTTTAGAGAAATGACTATTCTTGATTAATTCAGAGATAATTAATTCTATTTTCTGTCTCTGCTTTATTCTCTGCATTCACATGTATACATACGCTGGCTTATTATTTATAGCAGGTATAAGGAAGGGTTTTGTCCCTAAAGAGCTGATACGGAGTTTTTTGAACTTGACAGACTGTGCACRTTACTCTTTGATCTGACCTGTACATGTTATTAAAATATTACGTGTTTCTATATGTGCTAGGGAAGTCATCACAGTGTGAACTTGCTTTTGCAGACTAGTCTGTCATCAACTAGATTTAAACTGTTTAAAAAAAAATTGATGGGAATCTTCTCATGACTGGGAGGAAACTAAAGAAATAACAGGATGACCAGGCAGGTAGAATTGTCCCAGGGAGTGACTGAACCTGCAGTGTGTGATCACTTTGGAAACCTTGCATGTGTGCTGACTCGAGCCTGCTCCCTGCCACTCACAGTCCCTGGTGTTGCTTTGCTTMAGAGCAGCACAGTCAATGGAAACACTTCAGACATGAGAGCCCTGGGGGAGGAGGGAGCTGTGCTGAGGGAGACCTGTCCCCATCCCCTCCATGGCAGCAAACAGGGAATGCTCTCAGCTGTGTCCCTGCCAGGGCTGACCTRSAGATTCRTCCCTGRGGCTGTGCACATGGGTACTCCCTGYTCATCAGCTGAAGCATCAGATCATGCTTTTTTGGACAAATTGTCYCAAAATATCTGACACTGAGGATGAGCCTGTGGATTGTAGCAAACAGTGCAGGCACTTAGTGACAGCTTGGGTTTGGCTCTGTGTGTTCAGCAGGAAATGGCAATCTATTTTAATGGTTTTTTCTACCTGTTTGCAGTGCTCTTTTGMAAGTGTGCTGTTCCCCAGAGGGAAATCAACTGGTGATAATGCTGAGCTCTCAGCTCGTAGGATGTAGATCAAAAGAATAGATGGTATCAGATGACTGTTGTGCTTAAAAAATAAAAATTAAAGTCCATTCATAAATGCGCTTTTAAAATCATAAAAAGAGACTCCCTTGTCTCGCTGTTAAATTTATGTGGATTCWGGTCTGAACCTACCTTAATTTTCTCAGCCTAGAACTTCAAAATCGATCRATTCCTCTCTTGTTCATTTAATCTTGCAACGTTTCCATGTTTATTTTATTTTATTTCATGGTCATTGATCACAGCATTTCAAACACCTCTGCAAAGGGCTAGTCATCCTTCTGTCCCCTCGATTCTGTGGGCATCTTTTCATTTAATGAAAAGAGGAAAGAAAAAAAGCTGTGCAGAGAAAGATTGGGGGCTTTCAGCAGGAACAAAAGGGAGAAAGTGGAATACCTTCATTTGGTTTGGTTTTTTAATTGATGAAACTTCTTTAGTCTCGTAATACTCAGGTTTTGAACCTRTTCTGTGAAATTCTGCCTCTTTGTGACTGTTCCTTTGTATTTTCTTCATCCTGTAAATTTTTGTTTTCCTTTTGCTGCTTTTCTGGTAATTAGAGGAGTGGTTCAATCAAGGTGAGTCTGCAATACTTTCTTTTCATCATCACCATAATATGCTTTGTTCAGCTTTCACATGCAAAGCTAAGAGCTGAGATCAAGGTCTTGTTCATCCACCTTCTCCTCCCCCAGTGCATTCTTGTGTTCATTTCAGCAGACATAGAAAAATCCTTTCAGGGAGCTTTTGCAGTTTGGTCTTTCCACACCAAGAATGGAAAACACAAGGATTTATTCATTGCCAGAGTAAGGGAATTGATGTGCAGCTGGCCTGCTGYCCCCAGGAGAGCAGGAACACCCCAGTGTGAGCTGCCTGGCAGCATTKTCAGATGGAAAGCTCTGCTGCCTGGGCTGGGGAGTGGAAGTAGCCATGAGCCTCAGCAGCTTGGGTGTGTGTTCTCAGGGGTCCTTGGCACTTTCTCTCCCTTGGGAGACTCCTGGACTCTGCAGATTTGTTTGTACCAGCACGCAGAGGAGCGAGCTGGGTGAAGCTGCCCCCAGACCTGCCTTGGGGCACAGACTGCATCCCATTTCCTCRTCCCAGCACAATAACTAAAATTGCACCTGGAGTACACAAATCTGAGCCTAAAGCTTCCTTTGGCTGGGAAGTCGATAGGCTGTGGGTGCCTGGGAGACTCTGAGACTGATTTAGGRGTGAAGCCAGGGGTATTTTCAGGTTGTGCCACTTGCTTCAGATCATGGGTTCTGGATGGTTGAGCCAAAGGAAAAATGTTGGGGAGGGAAATAACCAACYAAAAAAATCTGATTGCTCCACCTAATGGTGCTGGGTAGTGTTCCCCAGGAYGCTGATTTTGGGCTGAGAGTGGTGAACCTGTGAAGGATGGGCCTGTTGGCAGGACAGAGCTCAGCCCTTGATTTGTCACTCCTTTGTGGCCAGTTCAGTGATTGTATTAATGAGCACTGGGGAGGATAAAGTGCAATTATTATGAAGAAGCACTTTCCCTTAAACTTTTATTTCAACCAGAAAGAAAGCATTTGGGAATTAATCCTTCAGCAGAAATAGTCTGGCTGTACCATGCTTTGATTATCCGGTAAAGCAAAATGACATTTGAGGAAGATCAACAACAACATTAGTGGTTAATAACACTGGGTCACACTTCAGAGTCTGTACAGAGTTTGTGACAGATGGAAAATGCTGAAGGTCATGTTTTGGTTGTTTCTTACATAATGAAAAGTAGCAAGGGGAGAAAGGGGAAGAATTTTAATCCCACTGTTTCAGAGACTGTAAATTGCATCTTACACAAGCAAGGCTCATGTCAGGCAATTTTCCCAAACCAGAGTGCTGTGCCAATCCTCCAGCCAGCTCTCATAAACAGACCTGTCACCAGGCATGTTCAAAACTGTCTCTTGGCAAAGTTTGGAGCTGTGGTTCTGATCCAACAGCATTGTCTTTTCTCTGACACACCTCAGGCTGGAGAACCTGGAGATRGGTAGAAATTAAATGTACAAAAACAGGATCTTAACTTCTCTCCCTACCACAAGTGAGGTTTGTGCTGAGGTTTCATCCCTGTGGTTGGTGCACAACCTGATGGTGAAAATCCAGGAAGCAACAGTGATGTGCTCCATAGAAATTCCACCACCTGGGTTGTGGGTGTGTTCACATCCCTGTTGTGGAGAATTGCACAGGGTGGAGGGACAGAGCAGGGTGTTCAGAGCTACAGAGTCTGGCAGTGATGCTGGGTTTCTCATGTTGCCAGGTGGGCATGGGGGTGGCTGAGAGGGTTGGAATCAGTAGACTCTTCAATTTCCAAATTTGGTCACCTTTTCAGAAACTCCAATATTTATGAAAAACAAATGGGAAAAACAGCTACTGGGCCTTAGATTGAAACCTTTCTTTTCTGGGTGGATTTGTTTTGGAGTCTTGCAGGTTGTTCATATTGTCTCTTTAGGGAAGGCCTGGAAAATGTAGGTGCTTGGGCTATTTCCAAACAAAATCCATTTGATTAAGCAAGTAATTTGTAGAGTTGAAATCCCCTTGGTGGGAGCTCTGTGTTCTGAACTGCTGCCATTGGTAAGCAGCTGGCAGCTTCTGCTTTGAACAGACAGGCTTTGGCCTCCGAGGTGGGAGTTTCTCAGAAGGCTGAGACAAAGCAGCAGAGCCTCCTCCAGAGCAGCCAGTGTTTGCAGGCTGGCCCAGAAATGGAGAGACAGCAACTGAAGAGCCCAGAGCACAGGTGGAGGGTGCTGTCTTTATGAAAGATGGGTTGGTAAATTAGCAGCTGCTTTGGCATTCCCAGCTCAAAAGGAGCAGCCAACTCTGCACTCCTGGACAATCTCCTCCTTAGCAAGTTGTGCACAGACACAGCGCTGACTAAACACTGCCACTGGGAAGGAGGGAGCTCTAACTGTGCCATTGCAGTTCTGCAGGGCTGATAGAAAAGCCAAACCAACCTTTAAATTATAGAGAGAACTTTCAAAATGAGTGGTGTCGAGTAAGGTCTGGCTCTCTGAGAATGTGTTCTGAGGTTTAAGCTATCTAATGGCAGAGACATGAAATTTGGGGTCATGTGAAAAAACAGTTTGTCCTACTTGTAGATAAGATGGAGTCACATTTATTGGTCTGTCTTAAGTCTATAATCTTTCCTAAACATTGACTTCCTTCCTTGAATGCTGCTTTTTTTTTTTTTTTTTAATTCCCTCTGCCCTGCTTTTTCCTGTCAATGCTCTAAGGGTCAACAAGGGTTTGCAGCCAGTAACTGGGTTCAGCTGCCATTATGAAATGCAATGTTCTTTGGTGCTGTACAGCACTTCCTCTTTCTGGTATTTGATTCCCCGAGCAATGTGTTGCTCCTTTCACAGAGCAAAAAAATTGATGGAAGGCTGCAAAGTGCCACTGATTCCTGTCCCTTCCTTTAGAAAAGATACCTTGCAAGGAGTGCCATGGTACCTGGCTGCATGACCTTTTGGCTGCTTAGWTGGGCTTTTACATACTTCAGTTGAGGAAATTGCTTCAGATAAGCAGAACTTCTGGGTGTATGTTTTGTTTTGCACAGCAGTTGAAGTKGGCTGGTATTCTGTGTTGGCATTTCAAAACAAAAGCGTGTGATTCCATCCCTTCCAAAAAAAGGGAGACGATGGAATACTGCCTTGAGGGGGGTTTCCCCCTCTTTTGATGTTATTTCTAAATATTCATAATGGTGTTTAAAAGCTCTAATGCTTCTCTGCACAGTGCTGGGTACTTTTATCCTTTTGTCAAGAGCAAAGGTAGAGTGACCCATTGAATTCCCTGTGCAWGTACCAACCCCCTGCTCTAACAAGGCAGGGACTGGCCTTTCCCATCTCATGACCTGTTGCCAGTCAAGACTCAGATTAATCTCCTCATTACATTTTCAAGTTCCATTCTCCTGTTTGCTTTTATGTAGCCTGACTSGTGGAGCTTTCAGCCCTTTCTGTAAAGCCTCCATTAACAGCCCTGGGAGTTCCTGTGCAGAAGCCACTTCTGGCAGCTTAAATTGCGTTGTCTGAATTCATCCCCTCACACCTGCCTTCCCTGCTCTGGAGGGAGAGGGACTAAATAACTTGATTTTCCCCCCTCAGAATAATTCAGGAAAGCTAAATTGCACACTGCTGCCCTCAGAAGCCATGCAGATTCTTGCACTGCCTTCCAAATCTCTCTCTGTGCTGCCAGTATTCCTCTGCTAGCAAGATGCCTGCTTATCCCTCAGCATCCATGCRGGCTTACCCAAGGCAGTGTGTCTCCTTGGGGGCATGAAAACTAACCCTTCCCTCCCCACGTGTCCACATAACCTTGAATTCTCAACCTAACTAAAACTGAAGTGCAGCTTTTGTTCTGCTTTCTGTAAAGGATTGTGTAAATTAAAGCTGATGTCATGGTTTGACACTGTTTCTTAGCAGAAGTATGGAATTATTTCCATTAGCTTCTAATAAATAGTAAAAATGACACTTGGTCGATTGAAGGGCAATTCAAGGTTAAGTTGTTGGCTGCTGTCTGTACAATATATTAATTCTAGATCTTCATTGGTAGTTGCAGTGAGAATAGAGGTTGCAAAGCAAGGTTGTTGTTTTTCACTCTGCTGCTGAGTTTTCGCTTCATCTGAGCTTCAGGTCAAAATTCCTCTGTGAAAACAAGTAAACACTGGGTTTCTGAGGGAGGGGCACAGCTTTGCCAGGAAGGCAAATGGCACAATTTTCCAAGGTTTCAAGCACTCTTAAGACTCTCTGAAAYGCTAGTGCTAAGCATGTTTGCAGATCAACCTGAAGGCAGCACGGGTGTTTGTCCCTAAGTTGCTCAAGCTAAAACCACAACTGTGCAGCTGGACTGCGAGTCAGRTACATGCAATTATGGGTAGCAGTTGGTGATTTATATTCTGGGTCTGTATCTTCTCTCATCTYGTAGATGCACATGACAGTAACTTACCTGTCAGTGTACTGACAGTTTTTTCCATCTGTTGTCTTCTTTTTTGCACAGGAAAGAAGAATGGAGATTTGGACAGAAATTTTGATACACTTGATTTGCCTAAGCGGTCTGAAGCAGCTAAAGGTAATGTTAATGTTTGTGCTTTTGGAAATACCAAGTAGCATGGGAGCTGGAGGCTCTTAAAGGGACTTGAGACATGAGCATATCGGGCTGATCTCTTCCTTTTGTAGTCAGTTAATTGAAATAATGGATGTATCTGTGCATGCTGTTATCTGGTGGTGAATACTGGATATGACTATACAAAACTGCTGAATTGGTGGAATCTTGCAGAAGTGTGTCTGATTTGGTGTTAGGTGATTGTAACTGCAGAGAGGGGTGAATGCATGCTCTCCTCTGCAGCTCCATGTGCAGCCCCCCTGCACCTGATGAGATTGGAAGGAGTTGAGAAATGCACTGAGTGAGGGTACTCAGCACTAACCTTGTCCCTCCCCTGGCATCTCTGACATTTTTCAGCGTTCCCTCAAATTGGAGACAGCAGTAGAGATTGAGGGGTTTTGCTTTTACTGATCATAAGTCTTCCCCTGAACAAGTATTCGTCTGTAGTGAGCAGTACTTGCAGTTTTCCAAAATCTGTGAGGTTCACAGTAAAATTGCAGTTTTATTTCAGCTCTGGCAGAAGTGAAATCTTTCACAATCTGCATTCCCCTCTTGCATGCATGGTACTTCTTTTAATTGGAGATTAGGAGGTGATTTGGGATTTTGTCAGAATTCTTAGAGCTTTGGATGGTGTTTTGAGACTTGCACAGGTTTTGAAGTGTGTGCAATGTCACTGCAAAGATCCAGCCATTGTCATGGCAACTGCTGCGGTGCCACCTTGTCAGCCTCACCTTAATGAGCTGTGAATACCCAGAAGTACCTGAGTATTCCTCAGAAGAAAAATTTTMAACTGTTCCCTCATCACTTAGAGAATTTTTGAGACTATAAAGAGACTGTGTGACTCAGTGGGGAGATCCATGGACTTGGGATACCTGAATTAAACTCTTTTAGTCACCTTGGTCCAGACAACTTATTTGTGCTTTTGTGTCCTTGCTGTTCACYGAGAGCAGCAAGGCCATGTCTGAGATCCTTAGAGATGTGCTGATAGTCAGTAATGGTTTAATAATTACACATCCACAGTGCTGCACTCCAAATTCACAGTGAAGCTCTGATTGATGATATGCAAACTAATCCTAATACGTAGATGAGTCTGATCTAATTACAGACACCCTTTACAGTGGATGCAGTTTCTGRTCTCATGTCTAAACACTGATTTTATTTGGTGCATTATTATATAAGATATCCTGTATCTTGTGAAATAATTCAAAATACTAATGTGCATCTTAGCTGCTGAGGTGCCATCCTGTTTAGAGAGCTGGAGGAAACTTCTCCTAACCAACCTTCACTGGCTGCCATCAGTTCAGGCTGAGTGTTGGTTACAGTGCAGAGCAAGGAGACACCTTAAGGATGCAGGAAAAGAAAGGAATACAAAATACAGCAAAGGCTTCAGCATTTGCATTCCTTTCTAAATGTGATTGGAAGGTAGGTGCCACTAAAGGGAGAAGATGGAAATCAAGAATTTCTGCAAGGAAATGTGTTTTGTACAACTTYCTTTAAAATAAGATAAAAATCTTTCATGTGGCTCTTTTAATGATAGAAGTGATGTGGCAGATCAGATGGGAGATGTATCTGTCTCTGAGCTTACACAGCTTGTTATCATATTCAATTGCTGGAAAGCTCACACTCTTGAAGAGGTTGTTTGATAATTTTGAGATACCCCCATTTAATCAAAGTCAAACAGATTACATATCTCATGCYAGATAAGGTCAGGAGATTAATTCCACAGCATTTTGAAAGAAGCACTTTGACATGGAAAAAGGCACGAGTAAGTATTCACTAGTGTGCGAAGAGTGAAAAAAACCAAATCAGTGATGCATTTTTGTTCACTTTTTTACCAGTCGTTTCCTGCCAAGCATCTCATTTATATGAGAGTTCCTGGATACTAAAGGTTCTAACAAGGTTGCTTGAACTTTGAATTGTTGGGTGAAATAAAGAAAATAAAATTGCAGGTTTAAAACCCTGAAGAGCTCTGGTCAGATCTCTGCTATAGAGTATAATTGGCTCTGATGAGATCAGCTCTCAGCTGAGGCAGAGCCTCGTTACCAAGATGGAAAAATCATCCAAGTTTTAATGATCAAAAGCACTCAGATTGAGTGACATGATGAAGTGCTATTTCAAAAATCAACAATTATAGATTAATCTCTTTCATGTATTATTAAAGCCATATTAAAGTGAATTTTCAGCTGGAATMTTTGTGAGCAAATGAAACTGCAGGAATAAGATTTGTTCATGCAATGCAGCAAATGAACATTGTGGTAGTTAACAAATACTGTGATGTCGTGTTGTTAAGTTTCCTGTAATTTTATGGTCAACATCCATGKAGCTTATCTGGTGCATCTAAAGATGTGATTTCAAGAACTTGACATYGTGGTTTCCSTACAAGATACTCCTAGGTATGACTRCCARGYTTAATGGAGAGTGTGCTTTATTATCACTTGARAAACCAGGAACTAGYGGCARCAAAYTAGTTCAGACCTGTTTTCTRTCAGCTCTGGAAACTTCATTTTTAYTCCAAATTGCTTTAATGRTAGGAATCTCTGCCTGTCCTGTAGCCAAACAYGATAAAACCAGAAACTGCTGTAGATTGTGGGTGGGGACTGGCCAGTGCTGTGCAGGATGTGGGGTTTTCTCAGTCCKTCTTCCGAACATCTGTCCTGCTGATATGTCATCTGAAGGAGATCTTCACATCCCAAACAATCCAAAGGGTCCTGTGAGTTGTAACCTAGTTTAAATGCTAGTATTTTACTTTTTCCCCACCTGGAATTTATTAGTTCTGGAGAGGAATGAATGAAAGAAGGCAGTTCTATTTTTCAGARTGATGAACTAGAATCTCTTCCTGATGGCTCCTGGTTTTTTAATGGGTATCAGGTTTTGCTGCAGCACATCATTTGAGCAGCCCTGAAACCATTTCTAAGCCTTTAATAATTTTATGTGCTAGGCATTCTGGCAGGGGAAAGCTTCCAGTTCAGGGTTGTTATCTGTGGTAAACTGGATAATGTCAGACGGGAGAACTTGCAGTGCTTTCAGAAGCTGTCTCATCTGATAGTAAAAAATAAATGTATATGCCTTGGCAGTGTCCAGAGTACTGCTGTCCTCGTGAGAAAAGATTGTGAAAGAGAAGCTTCTTGTTTCCTCTTTGTTGAAAGKAGCATATTTTTTTCCTGACAGTCAAAGAGAGAGAGGATAAATTTCGGGGGAAAGTGATATGAGCTTGCATAGAGAAGGGAACAGCATTGACAAGAAATTATGAATGCTGTCCTCAGAACCTTGCTAAATTTAGGACTTTCAAAAATTGCTGCTTCTGTGAGTGGGGAGTGGAAAGACTTGCTGAAATCCCTTCCCCAGTTAAAGTAGGTCAGTGATAGTGGTGCTGGCTGCCTCCTGCAGCATATTCTCTTCTACACCACCACAGCGCTGATTTCTCCTGTGTACACATTAAATACATAGCGTAGTACAACTCCGGTGCTTTGTTCACAGAGTCCTTATTTCTGAGCAGGAGCAGTGGCAGGAGCTCAGGCACTGGGGGAAGATCAGGATTAATCATATCTGTGCAGGGGAAGGCAGTGTCTCAGTTGGCAGCACCTCTGTGATGAGGTTTTCTGAGCAGAATCAGGACTGATGTGTGTCAGCCCCCCAGAGATGTTGGAGGTGTTGTAACATTTAATCCTCCTGTGTGAAGGTGTTGGATTGTCCCCCTCTGTTCCTCAGTGCTGGAGCATAGGAGGAGAAAGTCCAGAAGAGCTTTTTTTACAGAATCAGCATCAGGTTATTCCTAATTAAATCCAAAACCTCTCTGCTGTCTGATCTAAGCAACTCTCATGGCTTGTTGTTTATGCATACATACATCTGAGGGCAGAACAGGAGATGCTTTAAGGAGCTTTGGGTGTTGAAGTTCAGCTCTGATTTCAGTTCATCTCATTAGGGAGTTGAAAACCTTCAGCCGTAACGAGACGTGCAGRTACATTTCAGCCTGGTGGATGAGCTAGCTCATTTTCTCTTTTAAAGCAGTTATTGAAGTGGTTATTAATTTATCTTTTSTGTTTTGATTACTTAAGCTTACTTCCATGTTAATGGGAACATAAGTTTGGGAGAGAGCTGTGCTGAAATACTGAGCCTGTCCTAAAACTGCTTCTAATGGAACAAGTCTATTTTGTTGCAGTGGGGACGTCATGGAAAAGCTGAATTTATTTAGAAGTTCAGCTTTGTGTGTACACTTACCCTGGTCAGCAGCCTGTGCAGGCRGGGAATGAGATTTTGGATGAACTTGTCAGCAGGTGAATTTCTTCTTCTCCATTATCTGAAATCCTCAATCACTTTCCATGTAGCCCCATGCTGATGATAGATTTTCTATTCTAGAAGGTGAGTGTTTAAATTCCCTTATAAATCTTTGTATTACTGCTCCAGGAAATTAGACTTCCTGGCACTGTCAGGGTAATGACTTTAACTTAGTAGATTACAAAAGTGCCAGCAATTTGTCTTCAGCTAAAGGCAACATGTAGTGGAAGGAGAGAGAAAAACTTCACTTTACTCTGGCTTTAGTTTGTAATTAAGATTGGCTGCAGTTCGCATTTCACTTCTGCTTTAATTTGCTTTCCTTAAATCTTTACAAGTTGACYCAAGCACTCACCTGCCCTTTCCAGCTCCCTTCCATCATTAATTTTGATTGTCGTATTGTGMATAAGTGAGTAGAACTGATTGATTAATGGCACCGTCCACACCCCTCCTGTGCCTGCTGGTGGGAATTGAGGGACTTGGAAATCTCCTCAGTGACAGTAAGATGTTCTTGTATTAGCATCTTTTGAGTATTTCATGCACATTGTTGAGAATTCCTATCAGAATTAATAAGTATCYCTTATTTCTGTTGCTTTACTAAGCTTTAGTCCCATGTGTTTTTCAGAATTTACAAAGCAGTGAAAGATTTCTTATCTGTCTTCCAGTGCTTTGAGTCAGGGAAAATTTATTGCCTT